TTTCGACATCTCAACTTCCAAAAGTGGTCCGGAGCTGTGTGCTTCGCGCCACAATGGTGTGCACTTTTTCAACATCTCAATTTCCAAAAGTGGTCCGAGCATGTGGTGCTTTGTGCATTTTGACTTGGAAATATGCTTCGCGCCACAACGGCGTGCAATTTTTCATCTCTCATCTGGCCAGCTGGCTCCGCACCCGCCGCTTTAGCGAGCCTACTTTTCGACCCTCCGGAGCCACAAATCATTGGAAAAACACAGTGTTTCGCGACTTTCCTACCTTTTCGCGCACCTGGATCTTCTTTCTGAGACTTTCTCTTCTCTGATCTTCTCTCTTCTTTTCTCTTCTCTATTCTTCTGCTCCACCTCTGCTTTTCATCTGTCCATATTGTCGGAAGTTTGACTTCTAAACTTCCTTCGACAATTACTTTTGGATCCAGGTTGCATACCTTCAGAAAGTACAAAATACGGTAAGCTTAGATGCATAAAGTTCTTGCAAATGCCTGAAAATCCTTCCGCTCTGTGTCCCATGTTGACTACACTGACTTGGAAGGAATTGAATGCATTGTAAAGCGACAACGTACGGAATTTACATGCTGCATTGTTACATGCTCCTAAAAGGAATGCGGATGGCAGGGATCAGTAATTTGGTTTAGCAGCTCAGCAGGGAATGGTTGTAGTCGGATAAAAAGTCAAGTCTCTCCGAATCCAAGCTTTCGACGCAGCACTGCGACCACTACTGGCAAGCGCTGATGGTAGTACCAAGGCCTGGTTACGTGCGTATGTAAGAATCATCAAAATATATTACATTATGTATTTTAATATCATATATAAGGTCTAGCTATATAAACAGATAAATCATTCCGTATGGCAAACAGCTAGGAATCTGGTTCAAAACATTTGCTTGTTGCCGGGCAAGTACCCAGATGAGTCAGCGATGAGTCAGTGGCCGGGCTCCAGCCAATTGTCAAAGCACAACCTCGACGAAGCTCCACCTGCGATTCACTGACCCTGGCTGTGATGAAACCAAGATAAACAAAGATGAACAAAGATAAACAAAGTATCAGCAAAGATACCAAATTGACATGAATTGACCAAATACATCCAAATACGAAGTGCTCAGGTCTAGAGGAGATGTGGTGAAACGATGTGAAACATAGCAACTTTAGTTGCCTCGTATTGGTATTTGCCACCGGCTACCAGGGGCAAGCCCTTGATGCCACTCGGTGTTGTCACATTGGGAGTGGTGGCTTCGCACCTCAATGGCCATGTAGTCAAATTGATTATTAAAATGTTATGACCTGGCACAACAAACAACAACTGAGATGAATGAGACACAACTGAGTACAGTCACAATCTGCATCCGCTCATGGAACTTTGTAATGCATTTCATGGCAAAACTGGCAAAACTGTTCATCGTGTGAACGAAATCCAAGGCTATGGCTGGGCACGCAGCCCATCGGCCGAGACGACTATTCCTCAAGCGGGTCTGATATTCGATTGAATAAGCTAAAGATAGCTAAAGCATACCATTTCCTCATCTTTCTTCCATTTGAATCCAATTGAATCGTACAGCCAGAGACAGGCTTGGGTCAAGGTGCTCTCATCCTTTTGAAGCGGATTGAAGCAGCAGGACCCTGGCTTCTCAAGTGTAGCCTGAACCAAGTTGGACTGGCATTCAAATGCACTCAGAAAACCACTGCTATGATCAGAGGATGGTGTCAGTGAATTCAAAGCCTCAAAGCGACGCGCCAAAGCTCGCATGTTGGGTTCTGCTTTCTGCTTCTGCTTCCTCGGTTGACGTATTAACAAATCGATGAAGCCTACAGTAGGGTACATGTCATGCCCGCCATTTTTGGCACAAGCAGAAGCTGACTAAATCAAAAGTGTCCTTGATTTTGCGTGTGCATATGCGTGCATTTAAATCTGGTTGTCATGCCAAAGGGAGTTCAAAGCTTGAAGAAAATGTCAAAGCTTGGATCCTGACCGTGGACCCTGAGCTTCTTCTTCTAGCAGTTTCCGATGCCACGCTGCCTTTGGAGAGTTGAAACAGCAACCAGCGATACCAAGGATACCAGGCCCAAGCAAAAACTCAACTCCTCATTGACTCCAATCGACTCAGACTGGCGACTCAGACTGATTTGGAGTGGTGGCTTGGTGGCCTTGATCTCCTTCCATTTGGCGAGTTCGATTCTTCGCCGCTTCTCATGGGGAGGCATGTAGCGCCTTGCCACATACACCACAGATCATCACAGTGTCACATTGAATCCTCCTGATCCTCCCATCGCAACAAGTTCGACGATGCAAATCTCTTAGCTTCCAACGCTTGCATGGGATCCGTCTCAGTCGATCCGGGGAGAGTTTTCCTTTTCTCACCAGCCTTCGCGAACTGAAATTGGATGTAGAAATCTACTAGAGACGAACGCTATCGTTGCCTTTGCCAAGAATGAATTTAAGAGACGCTCGAGCCTTGCTGTCTGCCCCAACGGCTGGCTTGAGCTGAGGCCTGTGACGATCACATCCAATTCCAAGAGAATCAACTCGTTCAAGTTGAATAATTAAGTTGGATACGAAACGATCAAGCACAAAAGGCAACTTTTGAAGCAAGGCCTGCTCCGTAATCGAGCAACCTTTGCACCAGAGTGTGCGTATGCAAAAATCTTCTGACAAGGACGCATGTCATGGCGGCATCAAGGATCATCAAGGCATAGCAAGGCTGTGGACTGAGCATAGTTTGCCCAAACAAACATAACAAACCAGCCCCAAGCTACAGCACCTGCCCCTGGTTTGTTTGCTTGACAAACTTGTTTTTAATGAGGGTTGCTTTTCAGAATCCTGGACTAGCCTGGATAGGTTCAGTTCTATATGTTCTATTGGGATCTATTGGGAAGGCGTCGCGGAGCATTGAATTCTGGAGCCTTCGCAATTGCCGTCGCGAAGATATGCGAAGATGCACGCGCCACATGCGAGGTGCCTTTTGTGCAACCTAGCCTCTGCGAGGTGCCTTTGCGATTCGTGGATGTGCAAAATTGCAATTGCCTACTGTATTGGACTTCTCAAGGCTTCGCCAACCTGCCCAAAGCAGGGGGGCCCGGACCAAACTTGAAGTTTCGCCCTGAACCTTTTCTATCCTTTCTATCCGCAGAAAACGGTGATCAAATGATGTTGAATGTGCCTCCTGAAACCTCATGCACACACAGCTAGTACTGCAATGACCAAAATGCGCATGACGCACTAATGTCTTCTTCATGTGCTCTGGAACCCAACCAAGCAACCGCAAGAGTCTGACTCTTCTCTGGCACCAGCCGAGCCCTTTTGCGGGGTTCCTCCTGATCGCAGATCAGATCTCAGGATTGGCGTTCGACAAAGTGCACCCTCCGAGCCTTGGAAATTCGAGCTGCTGGAACAAGGGATGCTGTGGAGGCTGGTCTCTCCTTGCCATGTTTTTGCATGTTTTTGCAGCTTAGCCTTTGCACATCATTGCACCATTTCTGTGACCAGCACTTCAACTGGACGTAGCAGTGTGTTGAGCCCAAACATGGCTGCTCTTCAATTGCAGCAAATATGTAAGCTGTTACTGCATAGCCTGTCATTCTGCCCCACTTGGGATTCCACTTTGATTCTATAACGAGTTTCACTTGTTTCCAGACCATACAACGCTGTGGATGCCGAAGGAACGGATGTAAGTAGAAGGTGTGTGACTGATCAACCAAGGATGTCATGGGTTCCGAGCTTTTAGCAATTTTAGCAGCTACACTGATACACTGCACATCCAAACCACCTTACAGCTTTTATTCAGCTTTTTAATATTTTTTAATGCTCTGAATATCTTTGCGTTCTGGTCATGTCTTTTTGTTTGCCTCGATTCCTTTGGATTCCGATCGATTCGGTGTCCTCCACTCCCTCGAGTTCCTCAGCTTCCTCTGTGGACCTTGGGGCTAAAGAGTCACCCTGTCATTGCTGCGAAGCTTGAACACCGCATCAAGCATGGTCCGGGTCAGGATGGTCAGGGCTGCTGTCAGAAACTGAGAATATGGCTGGTCCAACTGATCCAGATCCAACAGATGTAGTGGATCCGCTTCACACTCAAGTTCTTCCTCTCCTTCCTCTAACAGCTCAACCGGCTCAACCTCTTCATTCCCAAACTCCTCTAACTCCTCCAACTCCTCTAACTCCTCTAACTCCTCTAACTCCTCCAACTCCTCCAACTCCTCCAACTCCTCCAACTCCTCCAACTCGTCCGAATCCTCGATCTCCTGGGTTTCCTCCAAGTCCAGATCTTCCAGACCTTCGAAATCCGCATCACCGACCTGCTCAGCTGGCGCCATCACTTGGCCGGCAGTGGTTCAAATCATCTTAAGATGCGATGTCAAGTGCAGCGCAAGCTATGCGGCTATGCTCTCCATCCCTCTCCACACCTCCATACCTTCACTCCACCAAGACTGTCCTTGCGCAATTGCTTCCTGCGGATGACTTCAAATATGTAAAGGCGATGATACATCAACTATGAACATGCACAAAGGATGCGAAACATCGTTTGCATAAGTCTGCATGCAACATTCAGTCGACGTCTATTTTAAAAAGCGTGGAGACATCACATTCTCCACATCCTGCATGAAGCTCTCGGCATCGATGTCCGCATCAATCTCACTAGTCAGAAGATCCTCCTGTGCATCCATGTGCATCAACATCAACAATCATCAACATATTTAACAGGTAATGTATATATTAATATTTATACACACATAATAAATGCATCGATGCATGCTGTACCATAGTCAACATGTTCATGTTTAATTTGTGGCAAGCTTTTTGTGGTCCTGAATGCGTCGCACCCGTCTTTTAACTCTCCTTCGAAGCCGTCGCGCCTTGCATTGTAAAAGGGTACAATGGAGATGATGGAAAAATGTGGAAAAAATGTGGAATGCATCAAACAACTCAGATAACTTAGTCTGGTGCATTTCTTAAGACGAACTGAGTGTCCTTCACCGTTACCTCGTTACCTTTGTTTTACCCTCATGTATCCTCATGTCACAAAACGAGATGTTCCAAAGCCATCCAAAGCCTTGGTCCCGAGGGACAGGTCACCTTCGATGTGTCCGTTGCCTCGTCATGAAACATATAGCATGTCATGACATGAAACATCATGAAACTATCACAGCAAAAACATACAAAAACCTACAAAAACATACAACTGCATAAATTTGCTTCAAGGTTTGACAACGTTTCAGTGTTTGATGGTCTCCTCTTGTGGAATCGCTGTAGTGTGCGGCTGACTATTGTCAGCCTGAACCTCGCCTTGCTCAATCTGGAACTCATCGTCGATGATCAGTGTCCTGCACTAGGTCAAAGCAATGCAAAGCGCAAAGATGCCACAGGTAAAGCTCAATGCAAGGCATATCAATATCAAACCAGGTTAAGATATGTTGAGTGCCAATAATCATTGTAGATATTGTAGTTATATAAGCCTAAGCCAGCCTGTTTCATCCAAATATTTGACAAGCAGCCTGAGTTGCGAACTCACCCCGGGACCAAGCTTCCAAGAGGTCAGCATCTCGGAGCAAGCAGGCTTCAGGAGGCTCGGGCCTGGGAGTTCATGGTATCCATGGTATCCATGGTATCTATCCTGGTGTCATGGCGTCTTCGTGGTGTCTTCGTGGTGCGTTCAAAATCTTCAAAGCCTCACTTGAAAAGTCTGAGCATGCTACACTTGCTCCGGCTCCTCGACAACCTCCACGATTCAACGGCAACCCGACGCACCAATTTCACAGCCAAAATCACTATGTGAATGCATTCCACACGATGTCTGGTGTCAGGTAGATGGTCTTTGAAATGCAACCAAATAGCAACGCAGCCACACAATATAGACACACACCGCATGATATGTATTTGTAGGAAAAACACAAAAAAAATGAATGAATGATGGCTGAAACAGAATTTTTGATATGTGTTGCTTTGGGTGTACATCATGTGTAGTACGTGACATATTGTAAGTGATAATTGTGGACGGCTTACATCAGCTAGCAAGTGTCAATCTAAGCTTTACTTTTCGGCTGTCCTAACACATGGCACATTCGAAAAAAATTCCATCCCTGAAACCTTTGAGGGAACCCCCCCAGGCAAACATTTACTTGATTCTATACGAATCTTTGAAAATGCAACCTTCAAGAGGCCTCCAGAAACCATTACCTAATCTCTCCATTGATATGACCCCAAGAATCCTTTTCAAGATGCTGCAACTGTCAGACCCAACCCTCAGGAGCCCACAAAACCTGTAACCAGTTTTAGTGGAGTACGTCTAGTTTGGAAATAGTTGCAAGCACAAAAGGAATCCTCAACTGGCAAGAACTGACTGCTGGTAATATAGACGCACGAGTTCAGTACTTAGTCGTCCACCTTCCAAATCCTTCCAATCTAGGAATCTAGGTGACCAAAATTTCATGCGGGAGGCCTCTTCAGCTTCGATAGCGGAAACCATCTTCATCTTGGGCCTCTTCCTGTTTGATCTACGACCTTAGAGGGGTTGACAAAAGGACAAACGATCAATCTTGCACAATCTTGCACCAGGTGTTCTTTCGAAACATCAAACCAGTCCTTGCAAATCGATATTTGCAATGTTGAACCATCGACATTTAAGAACTAGGGCGCTGGCCAGGAGCCACTAAGGCGTTTTTTATCATTTCATCCACCGCTTCTTCATGCTCTGGCGCCAACTCCTTCCCCAGAAAAGCTTTGGACACCGAGCTTCAAACAAAAAGTCCAATGGGAAGCTTGATTCCGGGGGTGTGGGCTGGATCGATCATTTGCTGGGAGCTCAGCATGCGTATGACAGAGCATGGCATAGCACGCGCCAAGAACTCCTGGAAATCTAAATTAAAGAGTATGTACAGTATATTGAATCTTGCATTTTTGGACATTTTTGACTTCTGATGAGTGTGGATGTCAGTGGGCGCGCAGCCAGCAATTCAACTCCCCGTTGGTTGATTGTACTGATTCACGCTTCTTCAGTCCTTGCTTTGAACGGATTCTTGAGATGGGTGTAACCTGGCAGCATTATTCAAACATGACAAACAGGAAACGCTTGAACTGTTCAGATTCATGTCAGAGCAGTCTATCTCAAGTCTGACTTTGGGGTTCCCAATCTTAACGAAAAAGCCTGAGGAGCTCAGTGGATCTACTTCCATTGTGGCCAAAGAAATCTGTCATTGCGATGGTTTTGCCATGGAAAGTGCAGGAACTTGGATGGCCTTGTCTCAGGTGAAGCAATGTCCAAGCCATCTACATCAACTGTTTGTGGCACAGCAGGAGATAGGTGTGCTCTCCCAGAAATAGAAGTCCTCACAAACATCTCCAAGGTGGTCCAGTATCCTTTTATCTCCAGCTGACACTTTGCAGATTTGGGCACCACACCCTTTGTGCTTCTTGAACCGCGAAGCGGCCAGTTTGGCAGATTCTCCGTAGCCATAACCTGAACGAGGAGAGTACACGTAAATAAAGATTGATAATAAAATAGAATAGAATAGGATAGGATAGGATCGGATGGGATGGGATGGGATAGGATAGGATAGGATTGATTGATTGATTGAATCATTGTTTGTTTGCCTCCCCAAAGATACCAATACTCGAGAAAACACAGAAATTGCCTTGAGGGCGGCGACTCTCTTTCGGCTCTGAGACCTCAACTCAATTCACAACACCACGACACACAGCCCTTGCACAAATCATGAAAGCGAAAAGCATCGAAGAGCACAATTTGACAATGAGATCAATGAGATCAATGAGATCAATTGAGCATGTAGCACCAGATCTCACACACTGCTCTCAATCTGAGGAATTCGCCCAGCGACCATGGCCACGCGGAGCCGGCATTAGCAGAGCTGTCTACTACATGGGTCCATTGGTCCACGAGAAATGTGTTTCACCAAAAAGGGTGGCCCCTCTGCTGTTCATTGCCAGGATGTTGATTTGTTCGTTGCTGAGGCTCGTTGTGGACTAGATTGTGCGAATCAGGCGGGCATTTCTGGAAGCTATGCTTTGCTTTTCAAATCACATACCAGTATAGTGAATGACCTAATTAGCCCACTGGTCTTTTTGGTTTTAATCCAACCCCGTCCCTGAGCCCGGCAAACAGCAGGTGGTAGACTGGTAGAGGATTTCTATGGATTTTTAGGTGCAGTATGGTGCAGTGAAGAAGACGATGGAAAACACCCTGCTATTTCAATTTGTCAGCATTCTTATTATTTCTAGATATTTCTATTGCAGTTTCACTGCACTTCGCTGTGGCCTCCTTGGTCTGAGCTTCAACGATCGGCTGTGCCCCTTAGACCATTTCTTTGACCAATCTTCACCCTTCAGACTTTATCTGGTGAGACCAAGTACTTCGCTTGTTTGAAAGATAAAAAATGGAATTTGCAAACGAAACCCTTTAGCGTTTTTTTTGTACCTGAGTGTGAGACCCTCAGTTGCGGCAGGCACTTCTGCAAGAACCTCCTGTCGGCAGTGGCGTGTAAAGAAATGAAACCAGAGCAAAGGACCGCATGAAGCACTTCCAACAACTTCTAGGATGCTAAAAATGCAAAAAGCTTCAACAAGTAGGAAGGGATATGGAAGGACAAAGTTATGGTTGGATGCGATCAAATCTAATCTGCACTGTGGGCTAGAAGCATTCCATCCTGTCCTCTGCCGGCTTCTCTGTTTCCACAGGTCCACCAAAAGTTGGAGATGCAGAACGCTGCTGGCAACATTGGGGAGAAAATCACAGGAACATTGATTGCACGAATATGCACAATTGACATCAAAAATAAGTGAAATAGGTACTGCGTGGAAGCGGTTGAACATTTTAGGGGGGAATCCAATGCAATTCATCCCATGCCTCTCTATTCTCAGTTCCACCAGGGGTTGCACCCAATGAGACCTGGTCCAAGCCACGACAGTATCGGATTGAGGAATCCATGTGACAGTGGATGTGGAGTCGATGTTGTGGAGACTTTCACTCTTAGTGTGCTTGGTGACCCAAATGCTTGCCTCTGCTGCAGCATCCTTGGAAATCAGATGCTGTAAATTTCGCCAGACTTGGACATGAACTACCTAGCCACTGCAGTACCAGGCTCTTGACTATTGAGTTTATGAATTTTTGGAGACTTGCAAGTGCGCAGGAGGGTTCCCCAGGCTTTGTGTGAGCTTCGCAAGCATCGTCCGGAAACATCTAAGTGCTGATCATCTGTGGCAGATGACTGATTGCCTGGCACCCAAGCAAGAATTGTCAAGGTATTATGACTTCTTCTGCTTTCAACGCTTCAGGATCTTCAGGGTCATTGGTCGATTGGCATACTTTGAGCATAATTTGGCATGCTTTGGCATACATCAATGTATATATCTCTATATATATACGTATATACATACGTATATACATACGTATATTTACGTATGTATATTTAACGAATCATCAATATATGCGTCATTGGTGTTGCTGCGCCTGATGGCTCCGGTGAGTCGGGATTCTCTCCAGCGGCTTGACCTGCTTGAAACCACGAGCGGTTTCAGCACGACAACGTGGCAACAGCACACTAAATTCTATGTAATATATGTAATATATGTAATATATGTAATATATGTAATATATGTAATATATGTAATATATGTAATAATTATATTACATATATATATTTATTTATATGATATATATATATATATTTATGATATATATATATGTAATATGTTCGCATCTAGTATATGGATAATCATGGATATGTTTTTCTCTGCGCGAACAACTCCTGCACTGTCCTGCACAGCATGCCAGCTACTTCACTGAAGATAGAAATGGACCTTGCTCAATGCCAGCAGATGTCAACTCATCTGCCTCAGACTTCACAGGAAACTATACATGCTTTACTTATCGCTCATGAATTCTGGGACTACTCCTCATGCAAAGCACCTTCAAGTAGTAATATGCCCAGTAGTATGCTCTGTAATATGCCCTGTATCACGCTTCTTGCAACATCTGGTCATTGCCAAGGCCCAAGCATCGGTTGGCTCGGCAGGAACACTTGGATTGGTTGAGGCCATCTTTTGCGAGAGCTCAGCAAGAAGCTCAGCCTTCAAATCCCCACGGCCAGGGAGCAGGTGCAGTTGCTGTGGCATACTGCAGCATGCTGCGGCATGCTGCAGGATTCGCTGTCAAATCCAAGTGAGCATGATATTTCATGATATTTCATGATATTCATGCAGATTGAGCATGATTGAGCCTCGTAAATCTCTCGGATACGATATCCCGGGTCTTCATCATCATGATACTCGTCTCCAACATCCCAGACCTGATTCTGAAGAAACCATAAGCAACCAACATGTTCGTGTTCTTGGAATGTGCAGAATGGTTAAGGAAAACACTCAAGAAGTGACGTTGCATTGTCACCTTTCGCAGCCTTTCCCTGAGTCATTGTGCCGATGTTTGTGTTGCATCCCTCCGCTTGGGCAAATAGTGGGATGACCTCACGTGAATGTCGCTGACATGTACTGACAATGACAATCTTCCCATGGGAAGTTTTCTGAAATTGGCATTTTAGCTTTGGCTGGCTGGGGCCAACACACAGCTGGCTCAACAGGATTTTGACTTTGAGCCTTGGAAATTCACACGGCTTGTTGTTCCGTTCAAAGTCCCATGCTCCCAAGGTGTCCAAATGCCCAATACTGGAATATGACACAACATAACAGTCAAGGTAATTGCATCCGCTGTTGGCACAGGCTGCGAGACCTTGCCACGTGATGTCACAGCTTGTCTGCCACTCTGCCATCTACCTGTGTGACAAAACTCCGTCTGGCTGTGCCTCTGGTTGCGGCTGCATCTCTTTTTGGATACTTTCCCAGAACCTGGTAGGTATGACCCTGACTGCATCAACCATGCCTCAAATCCAAGAATTGTTCTTCAGATCGAGAGTCCATAGTACTGTATTCGAGATGACTTGAATAATGTTTTGAATGTGATTTGAATGTATGATTCATCTACATCTATGTATATAGTTCTATAAGATTCTATATGATTCTATGTTCATGTCATGTCATGTCCTCCCTACCCAAGCCCTGCCTGGAGGTCTCAACATCACTGATAGTCAGGATGTGTCCAGTGTCAACTTGCTTGGGGTCAAGCACAATGTCCTGGTGTTGGCTTGGAACATGAGTCATGCAGCAATGCAGCATTAGATGCATTAGCAATCTGTGCTGAAAGGTGATCAACTGGAGGGTGTTTCTCACTGCAAGCAGCGCTCCATGACGTCCAGCTTTGGAAAGGCGTCACTTTTCAGAGTGGTGTCGATGCATGTCAGGAGCTTGTCATCAGACAAGCATTGCCTTGACAGCTTAGTGTGTTGAGAAGCTGACAAAGCATTGATGAAATATGCGGCTGCAGAACTAACTGTTGAGCTGATCTGGAGTGGAAAATGCTTCTGCGACGATGTCTCCCTTGGTCCCTAAGCTTGTGGCCCTGTAGCCATAAGCTTTCTCAGGAGGTTGTCCAAAAGGTCATGAACAAGAGCCTGGCCATCCCCAGACACGAATTTTGCCGATAAATGCAGCTCTGGGAGTAGGAACAGTAGTGCTTCGCTTCATTCCCTGTCTTTGAAACATATTGCTACATTTTGCAACACCTGAACAAGGCCATTTGAGAAAAAAAGAGAGCGCCACTGGCCCCCCCAGGTTTACATGCCTCTCGAGCAGTCTCACTCTTAGGCTTAATGGCCTGGATACAGTGGTGTGAGCTTGGGCTTTGGTCTGGCAGGTTTCGGCCAGCAAACGCATGTGTCAATGGATGATGGACCTGAGAATAAAATGTGCTTGGACAAATATAGCGGTCTGACAGATGGAATCCCCGTCTGCCTCCAACTCTGCAAGCAGCAAAGCGCAGTTGTCCACGTGGCTTCGAAAGCGTTGAAGAACTCCCTGCCAGTCGAATCCAGATCTCTGTGGACTCCCGACACGTGAACAATGTCCAGTAAGCATCAGTAAGTTTTTGACTGTCCATATCAATGTACACCCACATCTACATCCACTGTCAAAAACAACATGCATACAGTACCATGCAGTGACATATTGTGTTGATATGTACAAATCTACAACCTACGCTCGTACCTACAGGCGGTTCATCAAAAACATTTTAAACTAAGAGGACACCCCTTGCAACGCACTGTGCCTCCAAGGGAGGCACATGTTCACTGCATTGAGCCTTGGAGTGGCGTTCCATGCGAGTCTCTAATTGTCGTGCAATAAATTGCCTGAATTACATTGAATTACCTGAGAAGTCCTGACGAGAGAAGACTTCTGAGGGTCTAGCGATAATGGCGTGCGCTGCTGTTGTGAAATGACATTGCTCCAGGAATTGGGCAATGAGCTCAAAGATTTGCACCGAACCTGGAAGCCGAGGTCGCTGGGAAATGCGTATGAGATCTGTATTGAAATGTAGATTGATATGCTATCAGCAGCGAGGTGTAACGGCGCAACACTGTGAAAGAGCCAACGGTACCAGTGCGCAAGTCTCAATGTGGCGGTCAGAAAAGACTACCGTATCCTTTGTTATTGGCTTTGACATCACAGAAGTCTCCATGCCTTTCTCTGCACATGGCATTGACATTGCTGGAAGGCTATATTGTGCAATGAGAAGCAATGGAAACTCTTGGATAGACCCTGGGTGGAGGTTACTCTGATAATGTCGATCAATTTGCCGCACGTTATGCAGAGATGTGGAAGGGAGGTCGATAAAGAAGGTGAAGCCTGCTTTAAAAACTTTCATGGAATTTCTGATGCCATGCATGCTTTTGAGTTCATAGATCATTTGGACTCATTTGGCCCAGTCTTCTGAGCCAGCAAAAAAGCTTCGCACCTCATCAAACATGAAACAGCTGACGTCTCTACCTTGTTGCGTTTGAAGGATGCTGCCAGTCTCTGTAAAGGTTTGCAAGTGTCGCCAAGAAACGGTGAAGGCTGCGATCCTACTGTTGGATCAGTCTGAAATTGTTGAAGGAAAATGGGCACCCGCTGAGTCTGTTCAACACCGGGGGTAGGCACGCACAAACTTGAATAGGAGCTCCTTCTTCTGCTGGTGCCTCCACAAGAGTGACTCAATCATGTGCTGTATCTCCTCCGGTGAAGCCTATTAGAAATTAGAAATAACTGCATTTCCTGGAATGCTCGCCCTAGACACCGCCTTGGTGTCAGTCCTTCAGCATTACATCTAATCCATTCTAATCCTTCTTCACAGCACGCACAAGTTGGACATCTTGGCCTGATCTAATTGCTTGAGAGCCTTCACACGCGTTGCAATCTCCTGCAGCAGCGAAAAGGTCGCGTTTCTCAAGTCCCCAGTTGAAAAGCATCTGAAAAACATCTATGTGTGCCCCGCAGCGCGCGTCCATGTCACTGTTGATTTTCGAGCCAAGAGCAAGTTGGGGGGAAGACCAAGAAATCCCATGAAATGTTCGAAAGAATTGGCATTCTATACTGTAACTATATTTCGGTCGTGCTCGAATAATTTGCTTCGTGCAATTTAGACCAATTTAACACAGGACATCATAGGACATAGTTTAACTCCTGCTGCACCACCCAGACTCAGTTCGCCGGCCCCACCAATAAATTGCAAGTATGACATTCAACAGCAACCAAGACTCGACGTATCTTGACGTGCTTACGCTCATGCTGGTTCGGGTATCTCTATGATTGTGCATGTGGATGATCATAATGTGCTCGAATGAACTGAGAAACATTGAGAAACGGTAACTTGGGCTGCGGATGGCTGCGGAGCTGCCTCACTCTGCAGCGTGGCACTATCCGGCACTTTTGCCAGAATCGATTGCTCTTTGACGAATGTGCTGAGCACCTTGAGCAGGGACCGAATCAGAAGGGCCATTGGACCATATTGGACCATTGGACGCTTCAAAAGGAGTTTCAAGAAAGCCTCTAGAAACACACATCGAATGCTGGAGCTGTTCATATCTTCCACATTCCTCCAGTTTCATCCAGATTCAAGGAAACTTTGGACAAGACCTCCACAAGTCCGCAAGCGTCTTTGGGTTTTTCAGCCTGAAGAAGTCAAGCCAGCCAGAAACTTGCTGCGGGAATTTCCAGGCAATTTATGTCAGCTCTTTGAATGGAATTGTAAGGATGTTCCACACTGTGCAACACTGCAAATACCACAAACGTCCAGTGGAATAAGGACCCTGCCACCACTCTGTCGATGACTTTGCCAAGATGAGCATACACATTCTGTGCAGGTGGCATTTCATTCAACTCTGGAAGCTGCTATGTCTGAGACCTCTTGGACCCATCTGAAATATCTGAATCACAACAAGCATTATTGCATGTGCTGGCGGGTAGATAGCGGTTCATCTTGTGTTTGCTGCAGAAAAAAGACGTGTTCAACAGCGCAAGCAGAGCAAGCAGAGCAAGCAGAGCAAGCAGAGCAAGCAGAGCTCGGTGCTTCAAGCCACAACAAGCCCAAACTACAGCAGCGGAGTGCCTCCTTCTTTAGGTAAGCCAGGTCTGCATCTGCAGTGCCCATCTGCAAAGGCAACCACAAAAACTCAGAACGGATGCTGCACAGAGCTCAAAAAAAGGTGGACATCACATCAACAAACATCAATGGTCATCAATGTATATTGCATGGCAAAACGCCCACACTGTTCTCAGTGCAGCGTTGTGCAAATCATTTATCAAATGTTGACCGAAATGCACGCCTCTGCCAAGGCAAACCCGCCCAATTCAGACTACAAATTGAGCCAAACTGGTGCAGAATTGGAAGCAATCATCCTGATACAAATCAGGCGCGATCCTGCCACGCATTGGGTGCTTAGGTTTGTGCATCACAAGAAACATCAAGCATCATGCTGTGCTTTTGCTAGTCTATGCCGGAAGCTTCCTAGACACTACTGTCAGAGCTTTGTACACCGCTAGCAGCATCTAGCAGCTAGCACAAACCACCGTGGTCTTGCTGGAGAATCACCTGAGAATAGCATCAGTTGTGCAGGAAATGATTGGTTGCAGTGACTGTGAACACTCCAAAAATATCCAACCAGCATCTACTTCTGGAAGCTACAGAATAGGCAAATACCCAAAAAGCCAAGTACATAGTATATAAATATTATATACATGCAGACATGTCAAATATATACTGAGTTTATGACGCTTGCCGCAATCTCCTCGTTGAACTCAACCATGGCGGAACTTGGACAGGTGCCTTTGCTTTTGGTTCAACCTGCCAGCGTGCAAGCAGTTCTTGCCTGGCTTGTAATGTCAGACTGGCTATAGAATAGAGTACTATAGAGGGAAGAGGCAAAGGGAGGACACTCCAACGTCTCCAACAACAATTCAGCACATATTCAGCAGATCATACATGGAGGGTCGACTCGAGTCGACGGTTTTGGGCGTTGAATACGTCGTGTCATCATTGGCCAATGATTCAGCGGATGTGATGAAGCCAATGAAGCCGAAGCCGATTGCCTTCGTCTCACTGTAGCCGCCCTGTGTAGCACCTGGGCGAAGCTGGAGATGTTGAAAAAATGCAGCACATCACACCCTCGCCTTCAGCTGGAGCGGCTGGAGCGGCTTGCCCTTCCTCTCTACAATATACACAATGTCAGATTGTCAATTGCTGTCAATTAGTGTCAATGAGTCAATAGTCAATATTTATATCAATATTTGTCAACGGTTGTCACTGTGAGCCCATATGCAAACAGCAGAAAGATGCGCAGCGTCCTTGCTGGAGCTCACCATGCATCGACCCATTAAGGAATCCAACCAGTCATCCTAGGCTCTGCTCAGTTGAGTTTCATGCAGAGTTGTTGGGCAGTGTCAGAGCTGTTGGGATTTGCTGACCTCCTCCTTTGCAGCTTCTTTGGCCTTGTTCTCCTTCAGAGGTAGAGCAGGTACAAGTACAGCAGAAAAAGATGGAAGAAGAGCAAAAACACATTTTGGTGCTATATAAGTTATATAGTCAGTAGATATTCACTCCTTCTCAGGAGGATCTGGTGCAATGGCTGGTGATACCCTGCCCATCCTCAGGAGAGAACACCGGCGTAGATCAAATCACGGTGAATGCACTGCCACTATAACTTGCCGAGCTGCATGACACGCGAACCATCAGCTTGGAGAGCCTCCAGAAGGGTGAAACTATGCTAAGCTGCTAGTCTGGCAGAAATGCTTTCCAGATCTTTCCAGCATATCTGCAAAACCAAAACCAAACAACGAAGTAATTTCCTTACTTGAGAGGGTTCGCAGAGGCAGGGCATTTGAGGCGTTTGCAACACTGTTTTTCTGTGACAGTCCATGGACGGCCTGGGTGACTTAGCATATTTGGCTTCAAATTGATTTGGCCGATCAAACACGAAAAACCTGCTCCATGAGATTCCTTGAGAATGTTTTTCCACGGTTGTCCACGGTTTCCCCTTCCCACCTTCATCAAAGCGTCATGAAAGGAATCCACCGTCAGTTCTTTGCTGGCTGTGAACAGGTGTATCCTCCAATAGATCACAGGGTGGCTTCCATGGCTGCGCTTCATTTTATCTTAGACCGCACACCAAGAGCAAAACACAGTCCTCTGCAAAATACTTCCTTCGGCCGCAGAGATGGTGAAACCAACCTCGGCTTTCACTAGTCCTTGATATCCTTCATTCTGCGTTGGTTTGTGCTTCGTGAGGCACTGCTGGTCAGACTCTGGTTGTGTCGGACTCACGATGTGCGTGTTCGACGATCCAAGGTCGTCAAAGCAATTCTCAAGGATCAAGCTCCATGAGCCTGATGCTGGCATCTCGCAATGATCTCAACCTCAAAAGCTTGAACTTTGTGGTGCTGCTTCTGAAGCAGACTACAGGCGTGTTTTGTCGAGCTCTAGATTTCTGAATAGTGAAGGTAAGATTTGTTGAGTCACCAGCTCGGCATTCATTCACGCCCAATGCCAGGCCAGTTTTCTCGCTCTCTTCAGGAACCTAAGGCTTTGAAAGGGAGGAGCCGCTTTCAGAGATTTGAGGCACAACGTTCAGTTCCAGGGGCCACAACCCATTGGCCCATGCTGGTCAGAACACTTCTGTGAGCTTTGCATCACCACTGAAGTCTTGCCACCCAGCAGCCTCCTCAACATCTCGGCCCTTCTTGTTCCTGACCAGTTCTCATCATTTTCTCAAACTCTCAAACTCTAATGCACGTGTTGAAGATGTCGAATTTATGCCATGTCTGAAAATTTTGAAGTCGCCTTTTCTTGCCCTCAGTCTCGTCCAAATCCACTCTTGAGACAACTCCTGTACTTAGGAGCTTGTCGACGGCTGCCTGCAACAAAGTGTCCACGGATGAGAATTGGTATGTATTAGCTGGTAAACCATACGAAGGTCGAGGCCTGCAATGTCGGCAGCACATTGACTCGTTCGTCTTGGTCAACTCGCCTAAAGATGAAGAGATGTCATGAAACACCTTCTGAAATTTGAGAAATGCGAACCATGCCATGAAATGAAACTATAAATATAATTATATATATATATGATGCGAAAAGCTGAGGCGTGAACACGATGAAACCACGTTGTTTGCCAGCTTGGCGATCCTCATGAGCAATACTTTATGGTCGGATACAGTCAGAGAACGAGAGCAACGACAGCGGGCCTTCTTTTTGCCTTTCTTGCCATCATCTTCGTCAATCGCATGCTCTGCAAAGACTGTTTTCTGCAGATTTGATGCCAGATAAGTCCTTGCACTGCGCTCCAGCAGTTTCATATTTGAGCAAAGTTGCAAAGTATGTCAAGGTACCTTAGTATAGCCAGAAGTTAGCAGCACTGAGCACCAGACAGGCTTCTTTTGGGAAGCTCTTCCTGACCCATCTCTCAACTGTGCCATGCTCTCTCGCACGGCACATGAAAACAAACACACAAGTGTTCACTGGCAAACACGCAATCGGATATTGCCAATGCAAAGGTGAAACTAGGTTGCAGAGACATGATGAGACATGTACATTCTGAGTCAGTCATACACATTTTGGAAAATGCAGCTGTGGCCTCGATGGATCTGTCATCCCTATATAGGTAGATAATGCGGGTACAACGTCCCCTTTCACTTTTCAGAGATGTTGAGCTGCACCAATTCGTATGTAGCAAGCTTTAGAGCTTACATGTGTAATTGAGCACGCATATACAGTGCGGATGTGTATACATGTGTATATATATATATGTTATTATATACAATATAATACAACATCTAATATATATATATAATCATATATATATGACATACACTGATAGAGACTGTCCTCATGTGTGCTCATGTACGTCATTGCAAACACAGAGATACAAACGTCCGCATCTCCTCTACGCGATATCATCCGGCTGCGTGCATTGGTGTTGGATATGAATCACGGTTGCGTTATGAAAATATGGCTGTGTCTGAAAATGGGGTATACCCCCAATTATAGCCATTTAGTAGGGATAATGATCATTAACCATTGGGTGTAGGGGTACACTATTTTCAGACAAACCCATATGACTCTCAACGCAGCCTCGGGCTTGTCGCAGGTAAAGACTGTCTCGCGGGCTTCAACCCACACCTATCCCACGACAAGGGTCAATGGATAGACAATTTCTTATGTTTCGTAATGTTTCATAATGTTTCATGTCAGACCTGACGAACGGCCGAACCGGCCGAACCTGGCGCCCATCGTGGCCAACATACCAGCCTCATCATGACTTATCATGATGACTCATCATGTGTCTGCCGACGATGAGAGTCAGCCAAACTGCATGTGTCAATATTTTTTGTTGCTGATGAACTCAGGTAGGGCGGACTGAGACTTGGGCTCATTGGAGCAGGGGCCTGATAGCATCTCATCAGTCGGATTCTAGAGGGGATTGCGAAGCCTTGAAGGCTATCAATATGTCATCTGGCTCTATCTGGTTCTTGTGTGCTGGGAAGGTACTGCCGCTATTGGTTTTTCACTCTGTGATCTGACGTGCGGAAAGAACAAATGCGACGCACCGCAAGAGATGCAAGAGCAAATCAAGGGGAACAAGCTATGGCGTGAAAACCCTAACATGCAGCCTGTGGGAAGAGCTTGGCCGCATCAGCTCAATCTCTTCCTTTGCAACGCTGTCTTGCTGCAAACAACGATAAGTAGATGGCCAGACCCAGATCCTGCATTGAATGACTTTCAATTGAGCTAGGCAAACAGAATAGGGGACTGTTGTGAAGAAAGCAGACCCATGTAAATCCAATATGCGGCTGAAAGTAAGAGGGACTCCATGAAATGGTTTCAGCCGTATTTGCTCGAGGTAGAAGGCATAATAATGATCCATCTGAAGAATCCAACTGCATGTGACATGTGAGCCCAGGCCTTGAAAAGAGCAAACTGCAACGCGCTGTGCAGTTGTCAGCTGCCAAGTTTCCCAAAACAATTGTGCTCAGCCACACTGGCTGCGGAAGAATCCACGAGGCTGCAGCGGCAAACACAGATGAGCCCTTGGAAAAACTGCATTGACCACAAAGAACAAGCAACGCAATGCAACGCAAATAACGCAAGTATGCTGGCTAGTAAAATTAGTAAAGCCACATGTTCTTCTTCGATATACGACTTTTTGGACCTTGCGATTCAAGCCTAGGCAGCTCAAGTCTCAGCGGTTCAAGAACCTCAGGAACAGAGGCGAAGCCCCTGAGAACACAGACATGAAAGATATGAAAGATCATGAAACCATTCTGAAAGCACAAGATCGATTCAAATAAGAGTCTGGCGCATCGGCGCATCACTTCCAGCCCTTCTTTGCTTTAATTTCCTGCAGGCTTGAAAATTGACGCACTTGCTGGGAGGCGCATGTAGGACCGCTCCCAGCAAGCACAACGAACCATTCCCATGGCTGCAAGAAAGTCACCACGACGATAAGTGATTTGTCCTAAGAGTATTCGGGTTGGCCGACGTGAATCTGCCAGCGTTGACTCACAGGTTCCCAACACGAATACCACCAGCCACTGAGGCTCCCTGTCCTTGGACCATTCATCTTCCTTACAAAATACAGAGATCTGACTTTCTGACTCTACATTTGGATACATTTGGACCTTCCCTCTGTGCGCAAGAGATCGTGCATCATCGTGTATGATCTTCCTACACCACGCAATCTGCAGTTTGTCTCAACTTGTCGTGTTCACGGAAAGGCTTGAAACATCTTCAAACAGCTCTGCACAGGGTTGCAGGCCTCTGACTTGCCCCAATCCTCGCAAGGCTAAGAGCAGGAGCTGCAAGCAGAGACTATGAAACTCAGCGATTGGGAAAGAAGCGTGTCGACAAAAAAGACTTGCCTTGGGCATAAACACGTCCCAGCATAGAAAGAGCATTAAAGAGCATTCAATTGGGTCCTTCCAAGTCTTCTTTTCCCACGGCTTCTTGTTGTCGTCCCAAGAATTCCCGGTCTTTTGCCACTTCGCAGGTGGGCTTCCCGCCTTTGTAAGAAACAAAAATAGACTGTCGGTCTGATGCGTAACTGGGGTGTGGGCGAGCCCTATTTCTTCCTATCTCTTCCTATCTCTTCCTAGTAGATATTTCTGTTCTCTGATACGGTACCGTGTACAGTAGTACTCCACCCTCCACGGAGATGTCTCAAAGCCTGTCCTTCCCTGCGTGGATGATGCATGATGATATGCTTCGAATGTAAGAACTGGTGTACCCAGCATGCGTTGCAACCGGCGTTGAGGCAAACCCATCTGTGAGACCAAGTTAACCCGTTCTTTTGCACGTGTGATATACCATTGTCTACAAAGCAATCAACAAGAACTCAATGAAAAAGACAGAAATGGAGCGAAATGGAGCGAAATGGATCCAAAGGAATCCATCTAGATGGAAACTGGTGTAGTATGTGTAGTGTGAATTTGTGCATCACGTCATTCATACATGTTTACATATTCATGCTAGTTTTCTGTGTTCGATCCGTCTCCAAGCCCTGAGCTAGCCAGCCCTGGGATGTTGCCATGTGCCGTGCCCAAGCCTGTCCAGAACACTTTCCTTCGCTAAGGCCGATGCTTACGCAGGTTACGCACAGGTTTTGCTTGCGCGAGGTCCTGATATGTTCTGATTGCCTCTCCCCTTCCCAGTTGCTTGTGCGAATTCTGGCGCGAGCTTACGCCGCCCAGTGCTGTGCGAACGCTGCTCCGGATTTTGAGCATGGATCATTTGAGGATCATTGGAGCATGGCACATCCACACGTTCTTCTCAGGAGTTATTGCCATTGACAAGAACAAGAGAAAGCACAACCTGGATACAACCTGGAACCTAGGGACTGTGGAAGCACCTTGGTAGTTTGAGCAACAGCAATAGCACAGGGTGTTGTATTTCTTATCATCATGTTTCTTCTTTCAACATTTACATGTATCTCAAGATATTTTATTGTCCTGTTCAGTTTGCTATGATTAACTGGCGCGTGGGGAGGTGACTTCTCATCAAACGGCAGAAACCTTGCGGGCTCACTACTCCAGAAGCCACTCAAGTTTTGGAATCAGGACAGGTTTGAATGTAAATCCAAGCGGCGTCACCATAAGCTGTGGCCTTTGTGACAGAACACAGATGGTTCTATGTCAAGGAATTTCCAGAAAATCATCAATCTTGAGATCTCAACGCGTTGATGTTTATTTGGATGGAAAGAACACTGTTATGCGAAGGGCAAATGAAAAGTGATGAAAAGTCGTTCTTTAATGTGTGAACCTGCTCAGTTTGGACTCGAGGGCAGAACCGGGGCCGCGCGGATGGTCCCGCCAGCCTGACTTCCAAGAAAGGCAGACTGCTGTGCAACAGAGTGACGAATTTGCAGCGACGGCAAAGCGAAAAACAAGGATGTTGAATTGAACAGCGTGACGGTTGGACAAACAGAAAGAAGATGCGAATCAGAAAGAAATCACTGGGTGTTAACCTGCCTTCTGTTTCCCGTTGTCTTTCCAGTCCTTGTCCTTGTCTTTCCAGTCATTCCCTGTGGCTCACTTCAATCGTCAATTTTTTGTCCGGGCTGCATTTCTTGCACTCATGCAACTTGGCTGAGCAAATCTCTAGCAGTAGCAGCCCGTCATGATGCTGTGCTTGCTTTGTACCAGCGTGCCTTTGCCCTTTCCTTTCTGTGCTGCCCATCCTGCTCAGAACTGATTCAAAACGGAACGCTGATGTTGAAAGCACAGTTCCTAACAAAACCGCTGGTGTTCCACACTGCAAGAGCCAGGCATCTCAAACAAATGAATGGGGTTACTCCTTCTTCCGGATTGTCTTGAATGTGTTTTGCCTCTTTTCTCAGCCAGGACCTCAAACGTTCAAGAGAAACTGCCGTCCTTTGTGCATTCCTATCATCCCTCATGAAAGTCGGTCTGAAATTGAGCCTCTACAGCTCTACATTGCATGGAACTTTTCAGACTTTTCAGATGCAGGAACAAATAGCCAGATAGTTACCAGATAGTTTCCGGCAAGCATCTGTGGCGAGTCGATATCGTCTGCTTGCTGCACCAGCTTCTTGAGCAACTCAGGATCCCGGGGCCAGATCGATCAAAGAATGACCAACCCACATTGTGTATCATTAGGATTCATTAGGTATCATTATGTCACATTCATCCGCTGTCTATGATTGCAATATATTGCACATTCAATCCGATTCCGCAGTGTGCAGGAGAGCTTGCGATTCGGCCTGCATAGCATCTGCATGATGAAGTGGCTGAAGAATATCCAGAACCTCATCTTCATGTCTTGCAGTTGTGCGAAGCCTTGAGAAGCCTGATGAATAGGCAGTTGCAAATTAGCATATGTGTGTGTGTATCTTTTACATATATACAGATACATATGTATGTGTATGTGTATATATATATATTGTACATACATATACTTATTTGATCTTATTTGCATTTTTTTGCAAAGGCCCCTCGTCTATCCCTAGTTGCGACAAGAGCCTTTTTGTGAGAATGTGGCAAGGGCGAATGCGAAGGTACATTCAGATATGCAAAGCTTCGCAAACGGCACTGAGTTCGAAACATTTCCCATGTGCAACGGAAAGGCCAAAGAAACATTGGAGTTCACCCATCGAATGCGCCTGACAAAAAACGATGTGTGTTGCCAAGTGAAACTTGATGAAACATTCAATGACACATGCAAAAAAGCATTAAAAATTGTATGAACGCTTCATATTCACTGCCTCATCAGATTTCCGATCTGATGCGCAACTTTCTCACTCGCAGCTCCACGGCCGCTGAGGAGAATCTTCCTTCCGCTGAGTTGGCGTTGCAAAACCAAAATTCTTCAGGAAATTTGGACATGCTCAGGTCATCTCAGGTCAATATGGAATCTGATTTGATCTTAGGTCCTAGGTGATCCTAGGTGTATGATCATATGGGAGGTAGCAGCTTTGGAGTGTCCACTTCATCCAGAGTCAGCACATCAAGCCTGCTGGCGTCTCCAATCAGGTGATTGGGTTTGTCCACCATGTCAGCGTTCTCAAAAATGTCCTTCGAGTTGATCAAAATTGGCTGATTCATTTGGCTTAAACTCTCCACCTGTCTATCCGGTTTCAGGTCTAAGGAAGCCTTTTTCAAGACAAATTCAATATCAGATTCTGGAAGCCGCAGCATTTCCAGCAAAAGGATTTAAAAAAGACACAAGGGATGCGCAAGCAGTATCTAATGCAGCTACGAGGCTTTCAAGAGCTGTAGTGCGATTGGCTCAGACAGTTTGGCAAGACCACTTCCAATCTTGTCCAGGTCAATCTCAGAGCAGAGCTTACCAGACGCGTTCAATTTCAGAACGCGATTACGGACCGGCTCTGTGAGGTCTGGAACCTCGCCCTTAGCAAAGGACATCGGGACAGCTCACTGCCAAGTTCTCTCTGCAAGTTGCGCTGCAGGGTGCAATCCGCGGCCGCTTGCAACCAGAACGTCTGATGGTTCTATGATATTCTATCTTTTTCCGTGATAGGAAGGAGAATATGTGCGTATGCTGTATACGCGTATACGGTATGTATGGACCGGTTTCTGCATATTATGCTTGCATTTGCATTCATATTCTATCTCATGTCTTGACTTGGCTCCCTTGGCGCACATTCTCGGTTATGTCACCTGCACTCTCCCTCCTTTTCCTTTTGTTTCCTCTTCCTTTTTCTTCCCTTCTCTTTGCTTGGCATTCTTCTCCATCTTCTTGTTCACTTTGTTTTCCCTTCTTTCAGCTATGTACATGTTGCTTTTGGTGTTCACTTGATTGTCGAAATCGAAACATAACTTGGATCTCAACTTTCTTCCTAGAGCTTTGAGCTTGCCCACTACAACTGTGTTACTGAGTTATTGTTGCTACTGTTTGTCCTCCTGCTACTGCTTCTACTGAGGCCCGATTAATATGGTTTGCCAAAGTTTGCATGGCATACATTCGTGTCTGGTATCCATTAGAACATGCCGGATGCTCATGAATACGTATGAAATCGTATAAATACAAGTTGCAAAGCCACCAGCCCATTGAAAGCATTCCTGAGTCATGGGCATCATCTTTCCAGTCCTCCTCATCTTTCCAGTCCTCCTTGTTATCCTTGTTCCAGTCCTCACCTTCCTCACCCCACTTCTTGTCGTTCCAGCCGCCTGATTTCTGATTCCATTTCCCATCTTGCGACTCCTGAAGCAAAACAAGAATTCCTTGCCTATGGGCAGTATAAGAATGTACCCAAGCCAGGTCAAGCCTAAACTAATGAAGAATGAAATTGCCACTGACGGATACTGATGGATACTGATGGACCATGACCAGCCATGACCAGCCATGACCAACCTGTGGGGGCTCTTCTGGCTCGGGCACCGGTTCGGCTTCAATCTCCACTTGCTCTTGATCTTCCTTCTGAGCTTTCTTGGTAGCCTGTGCTTCCGCATTATGGGCATCCCATGAGCATCCAAGAATACTTGCTGTAGGTCTCTGTAGGTTGTAAACAAGAGGCCAGTGAAATGAAATGGTCATCGAATGGCACAGAAGTTCGTTTCAGTCAATCACTTCCGGTGCTTCAGAACTTTAAATTGAGTGTTTCTCATGGTGTTGCATATGGGGAGTACTGAAGGGGCCGCTCTGTCCCAGCATAGTCTGCCTCGATGACAGCCATAGTGGGATCTTGCTGTGCTGATTCATCTCCCCCTTCAGCTGCATCTACCACACTTTGGAGAACCTCTAAGGCCTTCTCCATGGGTAGTTCCGAGAGCTTGCGGGCAACGGCTCCGAGTCGAACATCAGTCAAAAACGTGCCCAGTGCGTTGAGCTCTCTCACCTTCTCGGAGACTTGTTTGTTTAGCTTCACAGTCGCCATGGCAACAACGGCAACAACAGCGGACAACACGCTGTTGATTCCTCTGATCTATTTGTGCCATCCTGATGCTGTCAAGTGTTCTTGCCATTGCTTGCAAGTGTGGCATTTTAGCTGGACATTTGAGAAGTGGAACTTCTTTCCCAGACATGTCATCCTGTGTGCGTATGTCTTTCACATGCTGCTTGGTCTATCATGATTTATCTTTGGTCCAGTAGCTAGCGGAAAATCATCATCAAAATCATGTCCACATGCACCAAAGTTGATATACTGTTTAGCCCTTTACACAATAGCTGGCAGCTAGCACAAGGCGCGCTTGGCTTCAATTGCACGTCTCTAGGAAAGTTGAAGCTTTGTTCCATCGAATAGGCAAATCGCCACTGAAATTCTGCATGGTATGCTGCAGCATGCATGTGCTCACCATACAGTTGCTAAAATGTGCAGATATTTTCGGCATTTTTCGGCACTTGTTTCCCCCCTCCGCAGCAACAATGGTAGCGCTTGAATTCTGCGAAAGAATGCCACCCCGAAAAATGGAGTGCAATACACATGCTTCCACAGCAGCTCCGCGTTCGCACAGACTCAGCCATATCTGTTCCTCAAAGCCACAGCATGCCACAGCCGTCTGGCCTTCGGATTTCGGATACGAGTGACTCAAGCCCTTGGAAGCCGACCCTCTGCCCGAAACACAATAAGACTCTTCTGGATCAGATTTCCACGGAACACTGCCTAAAGATTTTCAGTGATACACAGGGCTACTGCAGACCAAGCAATGTATGTAGGACAATGGTGGAAAATTGATGAAAATTGCCTACAAAGTAAAGTAGCTGCAAATCTGATGCAACATGCTTTTTTAACCAGTGACGGGCAGAAATCATGGGCCAACGGAGTCCGGCAAACTAGGCAAAGCTATGCAGTGGGAAACATTGAAGGATTGATCTCACTTGATCTGGATACTGAGATTTGGCTATGGTACAACGTCCTGTTTGCATCGCAGTCAGGTACTGTTTCAGAGTGTCTCGGGTTGATCCTCATCCAACTCTGCTTCGGTTTCCTGTGTTGCAATCTTTTGCAAAGTGTTGCAAAGGTTACAAAAGTTCAAGGGCTTCAGAGTGTCACAGTGCCATGTTTTGCTGCAGCAAGGCGAGTCCTCCCTCAAGCGAGCAGACATATGGCACAGGAACCGCGCCTAGGCTCTCATACGACAAATAGGTCAAAAATATTGAAAAACAAGATATACAGGAAAAAACCTACAAAAATATCTTATGTGTATGTCATACATGTACCCATACAAGCATGTCAAAACCTCATAGAACGTAAACAGAGTCGTGGTGACCCACAATCGCCAGGCGGCATTGAGAGCTGTCCGTCCACCCGCACCAGGTCGATTCCTGCACCACCATATATCATATATATATATACATACACATATATGTGTTTTATTTTATTTATCTATTTATTTATTTATTTATCTATTATGCATATATCATTATGGTGACACCAACCAAACAGTCTCACCAGTTCTCACCAGATTCGAATGGCACTGCAACGCACTGCGACGTCTCAGCAAGGTGTTGCACAGTGGCCATGGCCTCGCTTTCGCTTGGGCCTGAAAAGGTGAGCAAAGTAGACAAGATTAGACAATGGGTCATTAAATGTCCCCATTGAAATCCATTGAACATCACCCAACCAGGTATATGGTCAATGCCATGGCTACTATAAGGTGATGTCCAATATTCCCAAAATGGGACAGTTACCAACCCCTGGACAAGCACATCAAGCACAAAGTCAAGCCCAATATAGCCCAATTGCTGCTTCCTGTGGATTTTCATGGATTTTCTTATCGGACCTGGTGGATCTCCAAATCCTCAAGAACGCTGTCACCAAGATCCTGAAGTTGGACGAGAATCGGTTGTCACAAACCAGAACAGGGAGGAATTTGACCCCGTGCAGCAGACTTTTGATGCATCTTGCATATCATTGCATATCATTGCAAGCAGAACATTTGCCATTGTATCACGAAACCGTTCATGAAATAGAGATCCTGTATGATTCAATGATCCTGTTCTGGGATGTTTGGGGGTTCAAAACTTCAAAACCATAGGGACCATAGGCGATGCAAATTCTCACTCGTGCCTCGGTTTCATCAAGCATGATGTCACCTTGAAAGGCTTGATGGTTGTTCAGGCCTGGAAGCAGGGTCCTGCTGTCCCTGTTCTGGTTGTTCTGTGAGCTGCGGTCATTGGGACATGGCGCACAATCCACTGTTTCACTTCTTGAGGATTCATGTCCATTCAGTTCCATTCATTTCCATTCAGTTACAATCTAAGGGGCTGGCTTAGCCACAAGCACTGCTTTGGACCGTCTGGTTTTTGTAGATATCGTCGCAGGGCACTTGCGTGACGCTTATCGAGTCGCGAATCCTAAAAGATGAAAGCTGAACCAACCGCAGCAATCTAAATGTTTATCTGACGAGACACAAAAACAGTCACAAAAATGCATCAATGGCTTTCAGTGGAATGAGGTGAACCCTGGCAAGCTTCTGGTTCGTCCAGCACGATGAATGGCAAAGAGGCATCTTGCATGCCACTGATGAACCCGGGAAGAACAAACAACATGCTCAGTGCACAAACGTCCCTGCAGGGGCAAGAGGAAGTCAGGGATTGTGGCACAAACATTGGCAACTGATTTGCTGATATTAAGAAAACAATCACCGTGTCTTGTGTTTTTTCAAAAGCAATCAAAAGGAACAAGAAGAATAATTACAAATGATTCTGTATTGGAACCACCAGGTATTCAAGAAGGCAGGAACGCCAATCAAGCATCCAGCAAACCCAGCCTTGCTCCATCGGACAAACTATTCAGGGAAGTCCCGTAGCCAGAGCTGGCTCCTCCACGCTTGGCTGATGTGAGTAGATCGAAGGAGCCATCAGGCAAGCGTCGCAACTTTGCTTCGCCGCCCTCTCCCCACTCCTCCAAAGCTCGCGTTGTAATCCAAACAAGAATTGGCAACCAACTTTCTGCTATGGAATCAAACATCCACTTGTTGCAGAATCATGGAGTTTTGTCTTTATGCAGCATCCCTCATCTTGATTCATCTTGATTCATCTTGATTATTCATCCCAACCTCCATAGTGTCGTCCAAGGGCTCTCTTGTGAGCTCCCGGTACACTTCATCGATTCTTCGCGTGAGCCATGCTTCCGCCGCTTCAGTTCGAGATCTCGAGCTTGCTGAGCTGAAAGCCCTTGGAAACACATGGAAACTATGACTTAAACTCGAAAGATTATATGGAAGGTCTTTTCATGTGTTAGATGTGTTAGGATTCGCTTGGTTCAGTCTTGGATCGTTTTCGGTGTGTTTAGGATTGGTGAATGGGAAACCAGCAAAAGCAGCAAAAGGCCTGTCCTGGCTGCACCCTTTGTAGTGCACCTCCGCTTCAGCAGCGATCCAGAAGCGGTTCCTTCCTGGTCGAAACATGTTGAAGACTCAAACGTATTTCAAAATGTTTGCATTGTGAACCCAAAAAATGATGGAAAGCTCCAACTGCAAAATCAAAAGTGGCAAACATGACCCCTTAATACCCACTAGATCATATATTATCATATATTGGAATTATATTAGATCTATCCCCTAGGCTGCGCTGAGAAAAGTAGGATCTCTGTGTGTTCAGGGCTCTGAGCCAACTTTCTCGATCTCCTCAGGGAGCATTGCCAAAAGCCCAGAGGCACTTCGCCCATCAATGAGACCAAATTGGGGTAGAAGGAGGTCACCACCCATCCACCTCTCTGCGAGCTCGTGCGAAAGGAGGCGATCGAGCCAAGTAACCAACAGCCATCAACAGCCAACATCATGTCATAAAGATCCATAAAGGTGATCAGTGATCATCTACATGTGATTCTATGTATGGATGTGTGTGTGTGTGTGTCGGTGCACTATTCATAGAAGGAACATTCGGGTGATTGCATGACGACCATTCTACACTAGTGTAGCGTGCTTTGAGCGCTGAAATCCAACAGTCCTTCCTGACTTTTGGGCTCGGCCATAGATTGTGGGGTGACAAACATCGAGGGACTGGATGGGGATCCACCAAGCCACTGAAGGGCTTTCAGCCATTCATCATAGCCCTCCTGCGATACTTCTTTCAGTTCTTGACCTTCTTCCTGGACCCAATGAGAAAGAATATACGAATCCTTATTGGATCTATCCGGATGGACTCGCACTTCACGGACAAGCAGCACTGTACCTTCCGGAAAGCTACGGGAGGCTTGAGAAACCCATTATTTCAAGTGCACAGATGTCTGATGGGTCACATCATGGCCAATTCAGTTCAAGATGAGGTGCATTTTACGAATTTTATGACAAACACGTAGTCAGCCATGAATTGCAACATATTTCAAAATATAGTTCAACTAAAGAAACTAAAGATAAGTAAAGAGTCTTTAAACTTGACTTGCTGCACGCCTTGAAGGCTGCCTTCTTCAGCTTCTTGTTCGTAGCGGAATTGCACTGAAACACGCGCGTTCGATGTCATTGGTTTGCCCCGGCGAATGTAGTCTCGCAGATTCCGATCGCATTGACGGCCCAAAGCAAAGCGCAATGCATCCAGAACGGCTGATTTGCCACTTGAGTTGCAACCAACCACACAAGAAAGTGATCGCCCTTCGAGCTGAAATTGTCGCCTCTTGAAAGACTTAAAGTCATGCAAATCCAGCGACAGTAAGCTCGCACGCGTTTTAGCACGCCAGGTCGGCCCATCTGCACGGCTTGCGTCCGATGTTGCGGGATTGACCAAACAAAGCAGCCTCAGGTCTCGGGACCCGCACAATTTGCACAATACTTTATGAGATCTGAGATAAATCTGAGATAACAGTTGAACGTAGTTGAACTATGTTGAGATGATGGTTTCAACAGTCCAATTATTTTCAATAAGCAGCGTGAAAAACTACAATTGACCAATTTACAGGAAAGTGACTCGCTCATTCGACCAGTGCCTTTCCCAAACCTCATAGGTTGCACTGCAGGCTGAGCAGGCTGCGCTGG